AAAAGAAAGAATTCTACAAAATTATTATTCTACAAAAGAATTAAATTCAAAGAAAGATGAAAATAAAAGATTATAACGTTTTATTCTGTGTACATACTGAATACAATTACCACACAAAATTCTCACATAAATCATCATAAGCTGCTATGCTACCTGTTCCAGTGTTAAGTGTCCGGGAACAGAAATTTAAGAGTTAGCTGAATATTCAGTTTTCTTTTGCTTTTCAGATTCTGGAAATCTGCATGGTTCAAGATTCTTTTGTTAGCTTTCAAGAAAAAGGTAGACTTTGTGCCATCTGGAAGGTGAGAGGAGATAGCACATTTTAGCAAGCCAGAGGTACGAGGCACGGCTATTTGGCAGATCTTTTGCTCCTCCAGAGCAGCCAGCTCAGGCTCCCTTGTGCCGCGGTTTCAGACAGAAGGCTCTGCTTTACCATTTACAATGCTGCCATCTATTGACCCCGGTGGGCTTTCATCTCACGATCCGCGGCAGTATTTTCCTTCAGCAACTTTTTGCACTTGTATTTGCACTTGTATTTTTCTCGATGGGATTTATCTGACTAAACATACACACCTGCAATAACAGCACCATGTAAGAATTGCCTCAGGCTTCCTTGAAAATCACTGGAAGAAAAAAGCACTTCTGGGGTGTGATTCACATCTGCCCCAAGTAAATAACCAACATATACCAGATGAACAGCACCCAAAATGCATTACTGTGCTTTGCCCGTGGCTAGAATGATATCTGGAGAGTGACTAGCTCAAGTGTAGAGATCACTGTCAGACTGTAAGTGAGTACAGAAAGACAGCAAAAGGAATATTATCCCCTGTCCCAGTGGGGAAGTTTTTAGAGGTGCTCCTGGTATTTAATTTATCCATGTACAGTGGGGCCACAGGAGCTTCAGAAGAGAGATATGAGCTACATCTAACTTTGGATAAAAGTACTGGCATTTGGTCTAGGAGTTTACCTCCACTTCATATTTTCTTTGGCTGTAAAATTGTTTTAAAAGATATTTTACCTCTCCCCAGCTCTGCCTCTGGTCCCTCAGAAAGCCAGAGGTAAGAGAAATCTCACATGTAGTTTCCTACATCCAAACACAGCCACACACCTTCCCTCTCCCCTATATCCCCCAAAGAGGTATCTTTTCCTGTAAATTTTATGAATTGTAGGTTCACATTATACAGGAGCTAGACCTAAGAAGGATTTATTTTAATCCAAGCAAATATTTTATATAATGATTGAAAATCTGCTAGAAACAATGTAAAATATTATTTTGTCTTAGTAAAGCACAAGTGGAGTCAATAATTGCAACATCTTGGACAATCTGCAGTTCTAAATGTGACTTATTTTGAATTACATTTAACTCACTTCAATAACACAATCTCTGCAAAATAATGGTCTATACACAAATTTGCACAAGTTTTGCAGAATCATACACTTGGGTGTGACAGATGTATGATTCTTGAAAAGTGGAACAAGAAAAATAGGTTACTGCCTCCTTTCCAGCTTCCAGTCATTGTCACTGTGTGCTGGAAATGACCTCCCCTTCAGATCTGATGCCCAGAACGCTTTCTCAGCTTATGTAAGTGTGCTACAAATTTAAACCTTCTACACTTCTTTTTTTCCAAACCTCCAGTCATTGAACTCATAGCTCCTTAAAGAATAAGTTAATGAAATTAATTGGCTAATTAATGAATCTGAGTAGCTGACAAATGTTCTCTAGGACTTGACAACTGCAAATGCTGTTTCTTATGAAGAAATTTCTGTACTTTAATAGGTAGCCACATTTTGTTTCCTTTGCCAGGAAACATTTCCCAGCAAAGAGTGTCCTTATTTTTAGCCTACTGGAGCAATACTGAAAGCTGCAAGGAACACAGTCATGGAAGAAAATAGTTCAAGAGGGACGTGCTACATTATGGGACACCATTGACAAAACTGATCAATAAAACCAAGGCTCCTCTGTGATGCCTCTGGCCCTCAGCCTGTGAGAGATGTCATGCTGGAATCAATAGGAGCTATGCTTTCATCACCAAATCATTATTTTTGAGAAAGAAATTGCTGGGGTATTCACTTCGTTCTAGACTCAGTTTACATTTTTTATGCTTCATGAGTGTAGAAAAAATATATTTACCAATCAAAATTGGTAATGTGAGACCTTTTCTACTGTTGAGTTGTGGGAGGGACCATGAAGGGGGCTTCCTTTAAGAGCAAACCTTGCCAGGGTGCTCCTTCTCCTCTGATAAGACAGATTTTAAACTCCTTAAATATTTGCGTGGTCTTCCAAGGAAATCACAGCTCATACAGCAGCAGGTATCTTGTGAAGTGAAAGATTCAGAAGTGATCCAGGGAAAGTGATCAGGTGAAACAGAGAGGAAGAAATTGGTTTTCAGCAGACAAGAAGTACGGATATCACTGTTTAAAAATGTATATAATTATAGGTTTATTTAATGTGATATTTCTGTAGATCCCATAGCATAACTTTTTCTGTGCTTCCAGACAATAACTGTGAAAGTGCAAATATGCATAAGTAAGGCAGATAGAAGGAAATAAGCAAGAAGCAGTAAACCAGGAGAATGTATATTTTATAAGTAAGACTACCCAAAAAAGTACTATTTCAAACTGAAATATTACAAAACTACAAAACATTACAATGCTGATTGCATTTTCAAAATCTACATAGCACCAACAGTAAGACATCACTTGAAGTCTTTGCCTGAGACTGATAAGTTTAACAAAACCAACACATGTACCATACCTTTGGGCAGGTTGCCCTGATGCCTTTCTCCCATAGAAAGTGCAGAAGTTCAGCAATAAAGCATGCCTTGATTTTAATATATGTGTAACATAATCACCATAATGAACATAATTTACTCCAACTAAAGATCTGTGCAGTCCATCACCACTTTTTCTGAGAGTGGCCCATGTCAGTGCCCTCAGGAATGAACAGGGCAAACACAGAGCCGCTCTTTCTTAGTGCACCAGGACTTCTTAAGTCAGAAGTGTGTCCTGATGACTGACTAATAGATTCTCCACTTATTATTTGCCTTCCTTTTTTCACCTGCTGATTCTCCAAGATAACCTCGATGTGCTGCTGTCCACATCCTTCCGCCATCAGTGTGCCATGTATAAAAGCAGATACCAATGTGTGAGCATAAAGCAACCTAAATCTGCTTCTAAGAATACAGAGATCAGAGCAAGAAAAGCTGGAAGAGTCTCTGAGTGCACTGTGTGCCCATCAGACAAAGCAGGCTGGTAGTTGTATAAAACACTTCTTTCTTGGAGACAGAGGCTCTCTATGAGTTTTTTGGCCATACACAGGGAAATCACAAAACACTTGAGATGCAGGGGCTGAATGGGACCACAGTTAAAATCCACTGCAGTATCTAGACTTCCCAGCTCTGCACAGATGCCTGACTTCCACAGGAAACTATACAGTGACACGGTAGCTAGAAGAAAAAAAATACACAGATGATGGAGAAGCCACTAGAGTTTCAGAAGTGGTGACTTAGTGCTCTGAATATGCTGAAAATATATTTACATCCTACCATTTTTACCACTTTTAAAGAAGATCTTCTGAAGTATTAAATGTGATGCCCTTACTAGGCAGATTAGTAACAATTATTTTTAAAAATAACTTTAGTAGATATATGGGAAATAAATGTAGAAATCTGCTATATGAATGAGACTCAATATGAAATTTCACTTCACAATGGGCATTTTTAATTAAAGCAGGTAACAAAGGGAAGTTGTCTCAACATGATCTGCTGAAATTTTCAGCAGGCAAGCAGCTAGAGCAGTAAGCACACCAGGAGAGCTGAAAAACGGGAATAATCTTGTGCTGAAAGTATTAATTAAAAGCATGGAAATTAGAGAAGAGAAATAGCCTTAGTGGAGAGAAGCCCTAGGGGACCCCTTCTTGCTGGGATCAGGAGCACAAGCCACACTTGTGTGTTACAGCCCATCCGTAAGGTGTCTAGAGAAAGGCACAGACAATGGGGTGGCACGGTCTGCTGAGGATCCTGGGCTATTCAGTATGGTACAGCTGAGTGGCTTATTGACCATGGAGAAACACACAACAACATTATGGCACCAGGCAATAGCTGGCAAATTTAATACAGAGAATGTAAAATGCTACACAGGGGAAAATGCAATCCCTGCTCTGCCAGCTGTGACAGGTCCCCAAGGGGCTGCTCATTCACAGACCCATGAAAATACTGGCACAGTGCAGAGCCTGAACAGAAAATTAGATATTAACTATGGAAAATATAATAATCAGAGGATAAAGTATGGGAGCGCCACAGCACCACCACTGTAGTGCACACATGTTTTGAGTAAGGTATCAGCTTGGTGAGCGCTGTGTGTGTGCTCTGGAACTGGAGATGGCGACCAGGGTCAGGTGGGACAGCAGGAACTCAGAACTTGCCAGAGAAGGGCAATGAAGCTGGTGAAAGGTCTGGAGCACAAGGCCTGTGAGGAGCAGCTGGGAGAGCTGGGGGTGTTGAGCTGGGGGTGTTTAGCTGGGGGTGTTTTGCCTGTTTTCTCCTGTTTAGCCTGGAGAAAAGGAGGCTCAGGGGTGACCTTACCACTCCGTACAACTCCCCGAAAGGTGGCTGTAGTGAGGTCTCTTCTTGGTCTCTTTTCTGGGATAGCAAGTGACAGAACGAGAAGAGATAATGTTAAGCTGTGCCAGCAGAGATTTAGATTGGACGTTAAGACAAAGTTTTTCACAAAAAGGGGATTAGACATTGGAATAAACTGCCCAGGGAGGTGGTAAAGGAAAAGACTAGACGTGGCACTCAGTGCCATGGTTTAGTTGTTCGGTCATAGGTTGAACTGGATGATGTCGCAGGTCTTTCCCAAACCTTCTATCCTGTAATTCTGTGAGGGACCGGCAGCTCCAGGGGCGGCTGCGAGGAGCGGGGCCCCGGCCGCGCCTCCCCACAGCACCACGAGATGGCGCCGTGGGCACGGGGAGCGCCGGGCGGAAGCAGCGGGGGAAGCCGCGCTCGGCCCCGCCGGAACGGAGCGAGGGAGCGCTGGAGGCGGCTGTGCCCGGCTCTCCGTGCCCGCCGGAGCCCCGCGCTGCCCGGGTGCGTGCGGGGACGGCGGTGCCCCCGCGCAGGCTGCGGCCTCCCGCCCGGGGAGGGGACCGGGCTGAGGGCGGTGGCAGCCGGGGCGAAACGGCGGCGGGAGCGGGAAAACGAAGGGCTCAGGAAGGAGATGTGGGAGCCCGGGCGCCTGGCGGGGCCAAGGCCGGGGATTGTGGTCCCAGGCGGTGGTTGTGGTACTGGCACGGGAGCGGGGCTTTCCCGTTTCTCTGCAGTTTATCGGCCCGGGGCGGCGATGAGCGAGCTCGGGCAGAGCGGCGCTCTGCGCGCTGGGGCAGCCGAGGCACAGGGCCCGTGCTCCCTTGGTTGTAATTGTGTGCCCTGCTAGCACAGGCCGGAGCTGATCAGCGCTGCTCGAGCCTTTCAGTCACTTGCCGGAGTCTGGGCACGAGATCTGTGAGACCAGGAAATTACTACGCCTTCAAAAGCTGTACTGGAGAAGTTCCATCCTGTTCCTTGTTTATGACTAAATTGACCAGATTTATATATAAAACTTAAGTTAATTGGGCTACTGATAATTGTACAGCTTTCACACTTTATTTCTTCCCTCTGACTTTTGGCCAAAATAGCTTTTGGGTTTATGTCCTGAAGCTCAGAGAATAAAACACCCTTTTTTGGGGACCCACAGTGGATTACACTGCCTCGATTTCTGATAGGGCCAAAAGATCTTAACACATATGCTAAAGTTTGAGAACGTTATTTTGTGTTATGCTAATTTGTTTCCCTTCCATTCACAGGAATTGCTGCTGTTGTTTTAAGGACATTGATGTGAACATCATAGTGATAGGTGGGTCTTCATAGCATTCCTGTTGGGATGAGAAAGAGCTGTAACTGTATCCTAAGTGCTGGACAAGTCTTGTATTTACAGCCATCGGCAAACCAGAATGCAGTGTATAGTGTTGGGAATTTTTACCCCTTCTTTTGAAGAGAAATAACTTCTGCTGCCAGCTGCCCCAGCAATCACAGGCTTGTGTTTCTATGTGACTGTAACTAGGGCACTTCAGTATTAAAGTTAACGTCACAGCAATGCACAGCGTTAATCTGAAGCACAGAATGTCAGACCACTTTTCAAACATTTCCCTCTTCTGGAGGTAATTCTGCATCAGAAGTATAAAATGAAATAGTGTTCATGAGAAGATGCATGCTATTGATGTTGTTATGTTCACATTTTTTTAGGTAGTATGTACTAAGGTGAGTTCAAAATACACAGCACAAAATTATGCTTAATCCCTTAAACTGTGAAGTTTACTGCCAGGGGATTTATTGGAAACACCTTTTTCTCATGGGGGTTTTGGGTTTAAATGCCAAAATCAGTTTGGGGATAAAAAAAAAAAAAAGTGTCTGAACTACCACTTGCTGAAATCAGGAGAAATGTATGTGGAAAAGTAATTCCTTTATGAATATGTTAGCATCACATTTTACTGAGTATCTCCTACTAACCATTGCCAGAAACTGGATAGTAGACTATCCAGTCCACTTCGTAGATGTTGTATGATTATTCCTCTACATTTCTATCTACTGATGAGGATCTTACTCTTCTAGTATATTAATTACAATCGACCACCAGTCCTTAGAATCTGGTTTAAATCCAGAGAAGAGTAATAAACATAATCTTATTCATACTAACCCTATCTCTAACCCTAAGTATCCTTCTAGCTGCACTGGGCAGCTCTGGCCTGACTGAAGACAGTTTTCACAACAGGGACAAAAGCAACAGTGGGCAGAGGGGCTGGTCAGCTCTCTGTTGTTAGGGACATTTCCAATTCAAATGTAGTTAGCTTTTTCCTGAAAGCTTTGTAAAAATATGTTTTGTTGAAACCTGCTGAATTTATTGAAATTCCACCTTCCTTTAATAACATACTATGTTTTTACCATAATATCGTGTAATAGGTTAGTTGATCTTGTGTCAATGGATATTGTGAATAGTGAAACCCTCACTGGTGCTGCACTGGGCTTGGAGTTGTCTCTGTTTCCTTCATGTGGCCACACTGTATCCAACACACCACTAGTCCCCCAGTGGTCCCAGAGTGGGATTTACTTAGCAAGTTATAAACCCCAGTGCATTGAAGTTGAGTCTAAGGTATGACAGACATTGTCTCCATTTCTATTGACTCCAAGGGAATTAAATGCTGTCATTGCTTTGATGGGATTTATTTATTTTCTCTAATGCTCACCTGCCTCAAGCTGGTAAGGGTAACAGACATGTTTTGATGAAAGGGAGTACATCCCTGGTTCATTATCAGTGGAGAAATATTTTAAAACCGGGACAAGAAAGTAGAAAAAATGTCCATCATTAATGATCAGTATAAGCAAACAAATCTCTTTCCCATTTTAAATTGTACATTTGGTCATGAGTTTCATATATTCAATGGTTACAGATTTCATTTTTTAAAGTATAAATTATAGAAGTAGAACTATTACATTTATTTTTCTGCTGCTTGTCATGTTTCATATTTGATGTAGTTTGTTTTGGAAGAGTAATTCAACTGAAAATAAAACAAACTCACTTTTTAATTTCATTTCCTCGCTTGCAGCATTTTTGTGTTCTGCTTTATATTTGTAGTCTAATGTTTCATGAATAATTTATGAAAATAATTAAAGTTTCTATGTTGGGCAAAACAGGTTTTTCATATTTGGTAAACTAATACAGTTAGATGGTTTTGCCAGGGTTTTTCCCCTCCTTCCCTTTCAGAAAGCATAGGTACATGTTTTGTGTTAATAATAAAGTATCAGACTTTACCAATTACTGCTTAAAAAAATTATTTACATTGAGATCAATTCCGATTTCTGTTTATTCTGAAACTGTTTCAAAGAAATTTTTGTCATGTGGGAATTAGCGTGAACATGAAAAGTAAACACACCTACTTTTCTGAAGTAGAAAATGAAAGAATTGGATATCATGGGCTTAGGTTTTTAAGTATGAGAAAAAGACTTTATGGCAACCTTGACAGTATCCAGATGTATCTAGGAAAGATATATATGGGGAAGAGACAAAAAGTATATGTGTACATCATGAGAGTGGAGATGAAAGTTCTGAAGAAGGCAGTGGTTGTAAATGCGACATTTGAAATGCACAAAGAAGGATGGCACAGCAATCTTCTATCTGTGCATGGGTTTTGGGTGCTAAAAGTCACTGCAGTGTTTTGCAGTGATCTCAGTGCTGGGCTTCCTTCTTCCTCCAAGCAGACAGGAGAGATTCCAGCATGCTTTAGTTGCCTGATGCCTGAATCTGCAGCCTTTGCTGGCATGAGCAGTTCCATCAACTGCAGTGGGACTGCTCCTCTATGTAGAGCTTCTTGCAGACATGGGGTTATGGTGTTACCAGGGGTTTATGGCTTTGAGCTTAGTGTGAGCTTTGGACACATCCAAAAGGACCATCATTTGCTTTTGTAGTTGCTGCATGATTTGCATTTTGTTTGACCATTCCATTCTCCTTTCATGCATTATGGCTTAAGTGACAAAAAGTTGCTCTTTAATGAGTATTGTTAAATATGAGGCAGAACACAACTGTACTGTATTCATATGCATTTTGAAAAACCCTGGCTTTATCCTGGTATGAATCTACAGTGGTTTTAAGTGCTGTCTTGGCTATATTCCAGTGTTTCTGGGAATAGCATTTGACCATGTCTTAAGAGTAGCAATAGGTAGTTTAGTGTACTCTGTTTCTGTTACCTTTCACTGGCACCTAAAATAAAGTTCAGGCTGAGGGTGAGAATGTCAGGAGAAATATGTGAATGAAGCAGCTAACCTATTAGTGTAATAAAATAATTGTCAGATAAGAGGAGATTAAGAATATTTCTCAGTGATATGTACTGGTAAACCACCAGTTGTGGTGGTTTATATGTTGGTGATTATACATCCTGCCTGATGGTTATAGAGCTCTTGTTCCCCCTTTCTACCCTCACAACCATTTTTTCCTTTTTTCTTTTTTTCCTGTCCGGTTGCCCCTCTTCCTTATGCCTTTTCCTCACATTTAAAAATTGTGGCTGCAACTTGAACTGATCTTTGTTTCCTTCATGAGAGGCAGGATCAGATGCTGGAGGGAGAAAAAAAAAAAAAAGAGAAGCAAGGAGAAAGAAGGGACAGTATGTGGTCCAAAGTCCACCACAGGTTAAACAGAAACCTCACTGCATGAGTGGAATCAGGATGGGTTTAATCATTTTATGGCAATTGCTTTTTTTATAAAAGTTCCTGTGCAGACACAGCTAAAAAGTGAGAACAATTTGTTTCTTTTAAGTTTATGGTTTTTGTTTGGCATTAATTTTGAGAATAAAGGTTGGGGAAGCATGAAAAAAGAGAAGAGCAATGGGAGAATGTTCAGTTCCAGCATTTCAGGCTGCATTTTGTAGAAGGCTCTATTTTAACTTTCTTACTGTAGTGGAGAATTTTAAGGAATGGGATTTTTACTGCTGCTAATCAAAATCTATCAGTAAGAGACTTCAACTTGCCCCAACAGAGAAGGGATGCTTAACAGCTATAGGTCATAGTACTCAAATAAAACAAAAATATATTCAGTGTCTGTGACCACCTTAATACATATAATTTTATGAATTAAAAAGCTACTCTTTTCTTTTCTAGTTCACCTTGATCATCACCAGGACAAACTCCACAAGAGATGGTAAGAGGTCTTCACAGGTTTCTGTGGAATGGCTTAGTCACATTTTATATATAAAATGCATATAAATACTTTCATTGAACTGTGGGGGCAGACATGTAAAAATTAGATGTAAAAGTCACTAAATTGCTTTGAAAATAGAATTCAGATTACAACAATGAGTGATTTGTCTACTCCTGGGAAGACTCCAGAGAAATAACAGGAGAGTAACAGAGGACTCTGATCATTTGCCTTGGATTTATAGCTTTTGTTTCCTTGAGGAAATCTCTTATTTCCATTTATTCCACAGCTGAAAAAGCACAGACACAGAATTAAGTGAGACTAAAAGTGTTCCTTTCCCTTTTCCACACAAATGTAAAACATGTCTATAATTTCTTTTTTAACAGATGTATTTTTAAAATTCAAATGTAAGGAGGTTTTCAAGGGTCGCTTTCAACAAAAAAACCCTCACAAAAAGTAGTTGGACAAGCACCAGCATCACAGTTCTGTCTGTATGAACTGGCTTTTTGTCTTCCTTTCCCCAAAATTAACAACTGGAGCTAGTCAGCCAGACAAATCAACCAGCTTGATTCCAGAGCTTTCAGTAAAGTCATCAAGTTCCTTTGTAGAAACATTTTATAAGAACTGGAGATAATTTTTGAGCTTTAAAAGAATATATTGTCTATTTTGCAGATATATAGAAGGTAGGAGATACCTGCTTTTGTCAACTGTCGTGGTCTTTCAAAACTGGATTTTAAAGTATATTAATATTTAAGGAAAAAAATAGTCAAAATGTTTTAAAAGTAACTTATTAATGTATCAGGTTTGATAATAGGACATTCTCATCTGTCTGCTGAAGGATGAGGAGTCAGTATGACATTCTTAAGCAAAGGGAAACAGTAAATAAAGCATTGTTCATCCTAGCTGTTAGGTAGTTGGATGATTAAGGATGAAGAAATTCCATATGGAAGGCAGATGCTTTCTTTCTACCCACTCATCTTGGGAATGCTGCATTTTGGGAGCTCCAAATGCATGGTCTTGTAGCAATGCAGTGTTAGACCAAGGGGAGAATAGCAGTGAAGTTTCATCTCCATGAATTCTTTCTTTTCAGGAAAGAGAAGTTGACTGCACTTTTAAATCACATAGCTGAGCTACACAGCCCTTCACAAATAGGCTGCGGGTTTTTATCAGGAATACCTTAAGGAATGCAAATTTGTGGAGGTTTTCTTTATGTTCTATGTTAGCTGAAGGTATTTTGTTTCTGAGAGCACTTTGGAATGCCTAAAAAGATAGAACATTGATCTCTTATGGAATAATAGGCTAAATTTTCCAGAAAGAAAGGCAGCATGAGAGTTGCAATTTTTATTCCAAACTCACTAGCATTTGCTTTATTGTCTTAGAACCAGAAAGTGAAAACAAGTGTAAGTAAACCAAGTGAAACTCTCTGGATAGTGTTAAAAGGAAAGTATTTTTAGGTTTGAGTTTTCTGTTTTTCCCTTGGGATTTCTTTTTCCCACAGAATCATATTTTTTAAAGGGACCAAATAGTGCCAGGGCAGATCAAGAAAACAGACTTTAAGATTTTTGTCCTGTATGTCCTTAAAAGGAAAAAAAAGGAAAAGAAACCACCTTAGTAAAGGACTGTAAATGTCACATTCATTTCTGAAAACATCAGCTAGTTTTGCCATAGTTTTGAGTGTTTGCCAGAACATGGCTTAATTAAAATTCTCCTATTTAAAGTGGAGGCATTCTGTTTTACTCCAGATAAAGTATTTTCTATGGAAATTAAGACATGAGGGAAGGGGAGAAAATATTTGCTATTTAGTTTACTTGTTCTAGGCTCTAGTCTACTTCATAGCTTTGTTTTTTTAAGATCTTCTATTCTGCTTTTTGAGAGTAGGATGAGGTGGGAGATGAAATGGCTTGTATGAAGGGAGCTTAAGGCTACAGGGACTGTGGGGCTTTGTAGTTGCTGGTGAAATCTGAACAGCATGAAACTTCTTTAATGAAAACTAAGATTAGTTGGAAGACAGGAGATGGTGTGTACACTATGTTTCTTTCTATAGAACTGTTTTTCTCTGTACTCTATCAGTGGCACTTTATTGCCTCTTTTCATGTTTTGATTGATGGATACAAAAGGAGATTTACTGGCAGTTTGCATTTGGCTAAATACAGTCTTGTTTTTGATTGTGGCCGTGGTGGATATGTGAACTTGTCTGAATTGCTGTTTGACCTTTTCTGAGAAACTTTGGCAGGCAGATGGAGGAAATATATTACTGGAGGAAATATGTTACTGGATAAAATGAATGCATTTGTTTAATACAGAGGAATCTTAATCTCTTGTGTTTTCTGTCTGTGGAGTTGGAAATTAGGTATAGGCTGTAACATCTACACCTTGGAATTACTCAATTCTTAAAACTCATGTGAGTGTCTAAGGAATTGTAGATTATATCCACATGGCATATTTCCTAAAAAAGACTGTTTCTTACTGTAGTAGCATGAACACTAGGAAAATACCTTCTGGACACTACAATTTCTTTGTTTCTAGTTCTTCAGTGATAGTTGATGCCAAAGGAGTCTCTTGTAGGAGTAATGAGGTGTGGTGCAAGTGCACTGTGCTCATACATGTTGTTTTTCAAATCTCTGTATTCTATCATAGCTAAAGGATGACTAAAAGATTAAAAGGCAGCATTATGCTTGCATTTAGTTGCTCCCCTCATTTCTCTCTTTATACCTTCTTTTTGGGGAGGGGAGCATGAGTGCTGTGGTGTGTGGTTGATGGTTTGTGCTCTTTCCCTCTCTCTGGCCGCAGGAGGACACGGAGCCGTGGTACTCTCACAAGGTGTATGCCAGGTACTGGAGGCACTATGACTCAGCCATGCGCTGGATGCACAGGCACCAGAAAGCCTACAGGAAAGCCATGGAGTCCTTTTACTGCCTGCCATGGCATCCCTGGCATCCTGCTGCAGCCTCTCCAAGCAGCCACTACTCAGATTGGCATGGGAATGATCTCCCACATATCCAAAACTATTCTTCCAGCTACAGACCAGATGTCGGAGTTCCGTGTCACGGGGGAGCTCAGCAGTACGCAGGTGCCTACCAGGAAAGGGAGGATGCTGATGAGGACTCCGAAATGGAAGAGGATGCTGAAATGGACTCTGAAATGGAGGAAGACTCTGAGTCTGAAGGAGAGATAGAATATGACTTGAGTAACATGGAGATCACAGAGGAGCTTCGTCAGTTTTTTGCAGAGACAGAGAGGCACCGAGAAGAGCTGCGTAAGTCCATGCTTGTTCTGTGTTTATTGGAATTATTACCAATATAACCAGCTGGGACATGCCTAGGCTTGTCTGGCCCTTGCTCCTTGACCAAGGGCAGCAGCTGTGGTGGTTTCACCTCAGAGACACCTTTGGCTGGCTGGATGCTGCAGCTGGGCGCTTGGGACAAGTCCAGGCATGCAGGAGCTCAGGTGTACCTTTGGTGGAGAGGCTTTAAGGCAAGGTGAAGGAAAAGGAGTCGGTTCTGATGGAGGGTTTCAATCCAGAGCTTTATTCCTGGCACACAGATCCCTGAATCCAGCAACAGCTCTAACAGAACCACTGAACCGCGTGGTTGTTCTTCCTTTGAACCCCGGGGAGAGGGAGAGGGAAGGGGTAGGGATCCCATCAACCAGGTAAGGGGGGGGGGAAATCTCAGGGGACAAATGACACCTGGATGGCCCAATGTCCCCCAGGGCTGAAGGGCATCTTTTGAACTCTGCCAATCACTCAACACCCTTCTGGAATGCCAGGACTGACAGACAGTGCTCAGCAGGGGCAAGGGAGGGGGAGGGAGAGGTGGCTGGCAGACCTGGGGCAGGAAGCAGGATAACTGACACAAGCTATGGCATCACACTGCAACATGTGTTTTGTGGTATTTGGTGGCCATAACATTGAGTGCTGGGTGGCTTTAACATTTACAGGTTTTGTAAGAATTCACAGAAATAGGCACTGCAAGTGAGCAAGTCAGCTGACCGAAACAGGCAGAACTGATGGGTGCACTTAAGTACCACTCATTAGAAATAAGTTTCAGAAAATGTGTGGAAGTTTTTGGGGAGAGAGAGGGAGGAAAAAAATTATGACTGCAAAGAGGAGAATAACACTTTTGCCCAGAAGACAGTAATTAATCTTCAGTGCTGAGGAAAAAAGCTCCAGAATTTTAATGGTTAAATCTAGTTAATGTCTGAGGGGGAACCCACAGGAAATGCTTGAATACATCACCGAACCCTAGAGTAACCCTCAATGTATTTTATAATATGGAGCAGCCATTTTGTTTGTTATTCTTTGGATAACCTGGCAGTAAAATTTCTTGATCCTTTTCTCCTCCCCCTGCATCCTCTTCATTCTGTACTATACCACAAGTTTCTCTTTGTTGAGCATTTTGATCTGGACCCAAGTCCTTTGGTAGGGAATGTAAGTCTTTTGGTAGGGAATGTAAGTCTTAAGAGTTTTCTCGGGTCTTGATCCTCAGAGGTGTTGGTTATCTTTGTTTCTGTGAAATCCTTAAAAGACTAAAGAATTATTCTGTACTTTACTGGTACTTTACTCATATACAGATGTTGCAGAAAAATTTATCTGTTTTAAGAAAGCAGAATAATAAAAATAACTCTTCTCACATTACTCCAGTAGAAAATGTGTAATGAATGTTTAATAGAACTTTTTCTGCTTCTATGAAAGAGAAAACATTCTAAAAACTTATAATAAGGGCAATGATTGAAAGGGAAAGAAAAAGTATGTTAAATTCTTTGATCAGCAGGTATCAGAGGGTGAGCTGATAGCTCAACTTCACACTTCTCATCAATGTGATGCAGAGTTGATCTAGTTAGCAGAGGAAAGTGAGTTAGGGAGTTCTGTGGTAGTGCCTGACATGAGTGCCTTTCTCACTGTGCTTTTGCAGAATCAGCTTGGTGTTCTCTGTTGAAATGTTCCTTTGATGAGATACATGGTGCTTTAAGACACTGGGCTACTTCTGGGAATGCAGAACATTTTCTTTGGATTTTTTTTTACCAGTATGATTAGTGGTATTTAAAGGTATGTGAGTGATTAAAGGTGTTATCCTGGAAATTGGGAAATCAGGGCTTAGAGATGTTCTCTGTTGCAAATATCCTGTATGACCTTGGTGTAGCTATTTAGTCTCTTCCTGACCCCTCACTGCCTGTGCTTGCTAAAAATATGACCTGTTCTTTATGATGAGCAGGTGAATTGGGAAGAAGTTTATGACTCAGAATACAGATTTGACTTTTGTTCCTTCCACCACAGCAGTATTCAGAGCCTTTTGGAATGATTTGGTGTCTGCTCTGTGCTGTGTAGTAACCTAGTTCTGGATGAGTGTAACTCCATGTGCTTCAGTGGCACTGCAGATCTTCATGCAAATTCAAGCAGGCCCTGGTCTTTCACTGCTGCATCCCTCAGTTTCTTTAGCAGCTTCCCTGATAAAGTGAGGATAGTGCTGAGTAAGCATCAGTAATTCCTCAAAGCATGAAAAAGTAAACAAGTACTTGACATTAATGAAATTTAAAAGTGACATAGAAGTCGAGGGTGAATGTTGCTTTCTAAATGCTAATTTTGTGAGTAATTGAAAACACAATATGATCTTGTTTGTGGTGCATCTTTTCTTGCATGGTGAGGGAAAAGGAAAATAGAAGAAATTTTTTATTCTGTTAAAGTTTCTCAAAAGAAGAAACATAAGCAGCAGAAGGAGGGGAAAATCATTGTTTCTCTAATGGTTTGGAAATGAGCTGGTATGGAGACCATGTTGAAGGCAGTAGTACTCGACTTTAAGAGGTAGTTTTATTAATTTTCCTGATTGCTGTTTATGAACAAAATTAAATTTAGAGGTTCATTAAGCTGTGATCCATAATGATGCTATATCATGTTATATCTTTCATAATGTTTAACAGTTGACATTCTGTATTGATGCTTGAGAAGATTGAGATAATGCATCCGCAAAAGAAACCCTCAGTTCCTTGAGTATTTTCTCTGTAATGACTTTTCCTTTTAATCCCAAACTGCATGTCCTTAGGAGCAGATTTACAGAGAAACTTGGGTAGCATTAACCTCAATAACGCCTGAAATTTACACCTCCACATCTGAGAGAGACATTTGTAAGGGTGAGGCAAGAGTTTTACATAGCAGTTAAAACGAATGAGATTGTTTGGGTGTGCCGCAGTAGAATACCAATAGGGACCTTGACGATCAATTAAAGTAAAAGCCAGTCATTTTGGGACATCAAGGGGAAGGCTGTGTCTCATGTTTTCTTCCTCTGGCATCAGTAAGGGGCTCCGGGTGGAATTCACAGCCTCTGACCCCTGCACCTTGATACTCATTTGTCTGGGAGAAGACACACAGCTTGCTCTTCTTCTAAAGGCAGAGTTTGCAAGAGTTAGATACGCACTTATGGGCAGCTAATGAGGTGGGAGTCACAAGGGAGCAGAGCATCAGTGGGGCAAATAGGAACGGGAATTTGGCACTTAGGGAAGGGGATACCAATCTCTGTGAAGTATGACCTCCATAGTTTGGTGTTTTTCTACCTGTCCAAGTTAGGAAATACTACACAGCATTAATGCATCTATTTTGGACACGTGTAGTGAGTCCTGATTTTCCATGTGAGATATAGCTGGTTCCCACACCTGATCCACAGATGTCTCTTAGGCATGTAGAAGGATAATCAAATAGATTAAAAGGAATCCTACCTGATGTCAGACTCTTCACTTGTAATGCCTGATCTAGAGCCTGCTGGACATAAATGATCACAGACATCAGAGGACAAGATCTTGCAAACTTTAACTGTGAAAGACTTAAATAGGCCTGAGGTAGGTGGGAATGAGGTGATTCAATCTTGGAGGTCTTTTCCAACCTTAATGATTCTATGACTCTGTGGCTCTGTGAAAGGCATTTGAGCCTAGATGGTGGCATACAAGCCTTAAAGCTAATTGCAAAGAGAAAAGCTATACAGATATGAAAGATGTTGTGTCAGACTAGCCAAAGAAGAAAACTTAAGTTTTATTTCATTTCTTTGTAGCTGCCACAAACTTGAAGAACAAGCAGATTTCTAACCTCTGTAGGATTTTTGGTTTTGTTTTCTCAGTGGGCATTTGCAGTGATTGACTGACTTGCAAAGTAAGGGCTTTGAAACTGGCAAACTTGCTGAAAGATTTAACACTTCTGCAGTGATACAGTTCACAACCAACCTCTTTTAAAACAATCTTCTTTTTTTGTCTTTGAAGTCACATCAATTTCTTACTAGTTTTTGTATTTGTATCATGTGTTGTAGTCAATTACATGTTCCTGTAATGCCCAGAAGTAATTATGAGTAAATTTTGGCTGAGGCTGTATGAACTCAGACATACTAATACACTACCAACTTATCTCATGTTTTAGATAAATGGCATTTGGTTAAGACCCTTACAGACAGTTTTAATTCCTCTACATTTGTTTCTTGATATGCAATCATAATTATATAGTGATTCTCTTTTTTAGAGGGTTTTCTTGTCAGGCTAGTCTGTCATTCTGGTTCTTCATGTAGCTGGTGATCCAAACATACTGTGCATCTTGGGCATGTTTATGGTTGCATTTAAGTTTTCCCTCTGGCAGTTGAAAAGCATGAAGTTGTTCTCCTGGATTACCATACCTGTCAGACCTAGGTATGGTAGCAGATTCTTCAGGCATCCTAGATGTAAAGGTTAGAATGCAATAAGTTGCCTTTTTACATTTGCAAGAATTAAAAGGGCAAAAATCAAGAAAGGAAGATTCACAGCCCTAACAGTTCTGTAAATTGACTAATTGCACGTATTTATTAGACTTTTAAATTTAGCCTTTGAAACATGTAGTTTGTCCTTATACAATTTTTCCTTGTTTCCTTTTGCATATAAGAGAAAATCACTGCTAAAATTAAGTGAATACAGCATTGCAAGTACATTGAGAACCATTCTGTAGTAGTTAACAGGACACAGACAGAATCCTTTATTCAAAAGCAAAGAAAAGCAAGGGAAAGTACCATCATGTCAGTTCATTACCGAAGGATAATAGTCCATCATTTGTTAATGCTCTAACTACTTTTTTCCATCAAAGCCTCTGTTCCTATTGCCCACACATAGCCTCCAGCTTTTCCCAAAAATAATGTCTGAACTTAAATTCTTTTATGCTAGATGGAAAATATTTTTTTTAGAAATGAACGGAAATGGTGAATGAAGATGTTTGTTTCAAAACTGCAATCTGCAGACTTTTCCCCTCAGGTTTCT